CAACATGTTATACTTTTGGCAACAGTTTTAATGCTATGTGGAATACTTCCTCTTCCCTCTAATTTAATAGCCTTCCCTGGCCTTTATGGACTTAAACTGGTGACGGGAGCTGTGTGCATTCCACGTGGAATTTACTCAGTAATTCTATTAAGAGCTTCCCCGCACAGAAACTAATGTTCTCATCTCATTCAATACTCATCCTATTCATTATTTAAAACAGAAGACTTAATCTCTTCCTACATTAAGTTTCCTCAAGGGATTTTCTATTAGTTTAAACAAATTCAAAAGATTAAGCTTCAACAAGTCTGTGTTTGCAAAACTACAGAACTCGGGGGCTTACAGTTAGAGGAGAAGGTTTTGCCTTTTCTGGAAGTTTTGAGATAGAGGGTGTCAACTGGAAGTTACAGTCTTCAAAAGAGCCCCTTAACTGTTGTTCCTCACCATTTTCAGGTCATGTTTCAAGTGATGCTCAGCATTAGCCAGCAGGGCTTCTTATGATTTCAAACCCATTCTCTAGGCCAGCTTATTCACCTGGCTTTAACTAGCAGCTACCCCCAAAAGGCCTCAGAGCTCACATCAGACACAAGTATTTCCCACCACAGGTGCTTGCAGTAGGCAACAGCAGAAGCACCACAGCTGGGGCTCAGTGCTGGAAGAAACAGGGAGCACAGGACAGGAGTTGCCTTCATTTCCCCTCCTGGATTGTATATAACCAATGACTGAAAATGAATGGAAACAAAAGTGCTATTAGTCCTCAACAGTTGTGGGTTTTGATGAATCACAACAGGCCACCTGGGCTGTGACATGCTGTGCTCCTAGCTATATGAAGCTCCTCTCGCTGGGCATGTCAGCCATAAAGGGGCTCACGTACGCTAGTGCTGGCTGTGACTACAGCAGCTGCACTTCCGAACAGAGTTCCTGTGTCATTAAACCTGCTAAACACTATCTACACCCATTTACTTACCAAACAAATCTTGAGGACTAGGTAGATACAAGTTGTTTGGAACCCTACCAATGATTAATATTTAATAAAATACACCTTTTATTATAGTCACTTCTACCATGCAAAAAGCTGACAATTCTGGGGCATCGCAAGTTCTGTTTTAGTCCTGAGAAACAAACATTCAGGCACAAATGCCTCTCCTCAGTGTTAAGAAAGGTCTGTATTCCTGAAAGCTTGCCTGCCTTGCAAAACTGTACTATTGGTCTAATAATAGGGACTATATAAAGATCATAGTGGCTGTGTCCACTCTGGCATTCTGATGTTATTAAAATCAATATGAGGAGAAGCAGGAATTTTACCTCTCACTAAAATACAGTATGTCCTCCTGCAGGGGAAATTATTTACATATTCTGATGCATGAGAAGCTGCATTTTAGAAAGGATCACACAGAAAGAGAGTTGTTCACCTATTACTGATACCCATCTCCCTTATTTTCTTCCTGATTAGTTCAATTTAAGGAACAAAGTGGAAGGAGTGGCATAAATAAGCTGTGATTTTAGGTTTTCCCAAGAAAACAGAAGAGCTGATTTGCCTCTCATTTCTGTTAGCAAACAAGTCTTTCCTTATTTACAACAACATTATTTACAAGAGGAAGTTCAGACAGAACAGCTGAGATCTGCAGTCCTTGCAAAAACGAGAATTCAGTAAATAATGAAGAGGATAAAATTGGTTAAAGAGAGGAGATGCTGGAAACAATAGTCCCAGGAACAGTGGACTCTTAATAAGAATTAACGGGATGCTTTAAGTACCTGGTGGAGATATTTCTCTTAGCCTTGCACACAGAAATAATGTCATGGAGGCAACCTTTTAAATGAGAAAGATGTGTCTTATGATGTATTACCAAAAAACCATGCTCTTTTAATAAGGGAAAGCTAAGTGAGTGGAAGAAAAGCAAATGGATTCTGGTCTCCCTTCCTGACCATGCCACTACAGCTCTGTGACCCAGAGCAAAGCACTTAAACATTCAGCACCTCTCAGTGAAACTGGTAACAAATACAATGGCAGGAGGCACATTCATTTCACAAAACAATATATTTTATCCTATAGCTCAAGAAAAGAACTGTTTCCAGAACAACTCCTACATTCCATGATTCCTAAAGGGATGACTATACTTCAGTTTCCCATTTCTGACCATGACCACAGCAAGGTATCCCAAGGAAGACATAAAAATGCAGAAATCTGCCAGGGAAAACTTTCTGCCTAACTCCAGGCTGTCATAGTTGACTGACTGCACAAAACACAAGGGTTTATATTCCTTAAAACAGAGATTAAGCTCGGGTTACCAGCAGATTTTCTCATTATTCACCTTCAAGATTTTAGGGACCAAGAATTGTGTGCCCAGTGACAGACATCAGGCTGAGTGTTAGGAGCACTGAGTCTGAGCTGGACAAGTACTCAGGACAAGCAGAGGACCTGGCTCCTGTGCTTGTGGAGAGCAATCCAAGCAACGTGCAGGCTGGAAGAGGAGGAACACAAACCTCAACCCTCAGAGCTCTCACAAAAGGCTCTGGCTCTGGGTTTGGAGTTGTCTGTCTCTTGGTTTCTCCATTTAGAAGCCCTTTCAGAAGCTGGGGTGCCCTTGAGAATGTTGTAAAGGAAAATAAGGAACTTCATCAACAGAACTGATAAAGAAGCTCAAGGGATTTGAAGCACCTGTGATAAAAAAAAATGGCTGGGCAAAGGGGCTGTGGACCATAGTGGTGCTGAAATATATTTAGGTATTTTGGGGTGAAGTATGATAGTTGGACATCTCTGTGCAATTCTAGAATCAGCAACAGACAGATGTGTGCTGGGAGCCAAACCCTGTGCTGAGACAAGCTCTGGGCAAGTCTGGGGTGTCAGCAGGTTTGTGGCAGACAGAAAATTACAGCTTGGAAGGTGGTTCTGGAATTTGAGAAAAGAAACTCTCCCTCGTAACCATGAATTCAACTGTGTCATGAATAATTGTAGTGAGTGGGAAGAAAGGACATTAACACTTCTAAAATAAACCTCCAGAAATCTTTTAAATAGAAAAATTGCCTGCAGGGAAAATGAAACAGGAAAAATGTGGCCAAAAAAGCCAAAAGGAATTCTAAAAAGAAAGATAACATATTAAACAGAGACAGTTTTCCAGCTGTGAAATAGGAAAAGGCTATTGTTCATTAGACAAAAGACCCTCTGAGGTGCTTAAATTTAACTTTCTCCATTTAAACAAAGCATTAAAGAGCTACTAAATCAGTCCAAAATAGAACAGGAATAAGTGAGCAAAGTGCCAGATGCTTGGCTGGAAGTCCTGGCCATTGCACTGTGGATATAACTTTGCACCTACTAAGCAGCTTTCCACAGAGATGTAGTTTGTAACACAGGATTTCATCCCTGTTCTCTAAAGGAAGTCCTCAGCCCAAAGGTGTCAAGAAGCAGATTTTAATGAGAATGGAAAGAGACTGACCTCCCTTCTTGTGCTTCCATGAGTAATCTTTGGCACTCTGTTTCTGTCAAGAGATAAGGGAACTTCTTTGATGAAATTATGGTTGTAAAATGAAGGAGAATATAAGCCAAATTACACCCTGCAGTATTTTACTGAGCCTGACTTTTGGATTCAGAATGCTCAGAACACATTCCCTTTGAGTTGTCTCCTAGGGGAAAGGAATCCCTGAGCAGTGTACGCAACAGTGTAGGATTTTGGATTCATTCCTATTCACTCGCATTGGATTCATTCCTATTCACTCTTATTCATTCTGGCATAGTGGATATCCCTAAGAGAAGAGGAATTCCTATCCCCTACCTGTTGGAATGAGGGATCTACATGCATTTTTATGCTATGTAGAACACCTGTACTGGTAACCAGGAACTCATCTACAATGTCTAGAAGCCAGCTTGGAGCTACTACTGCTGTTCTGACCAGGGGCCAGACACCCACAAGTCTGCCCAAGTAAAAAAAATAATAGAATGCAGAGCTTTCCAGGGTATCTCCAGATCCCTTCTGTCTGAGGCTGTGGCACAGCACCCTAGAGAGCTGCAAACACACCAGTGTCCTGCCAAGAAAGGTGCTCTCAAGCCATGGTGACAAGTTGTTGGGTTTTGTCACTGGCTACTGCTGACTATAAATTTTAACACCTTGATGGCAGTGATGAGAGGGACATACAAAGGTGGTTTGTGTTCATGACAATGGTAGTAAATGGGAAAGCAGAAAACCACTGACTCCACTTGGCTGAAACCTTCCATGCAGCAACAATAAAAAAGTCCCAAATTGCTGCAATACTGTGAGCAATCTGTACTCCAGTTTTAGTTCTTCATATTGTCATCAGGATCACTAAGATTATCAAAGAATCACTAGCTCTTTATCTGTGCCCCCTGCATGGTCTGTTTTTAGTAGTACTGTGTGGAAGAATACCGTAAATAGACAGGGTAAAGAGAAGGAGTCTTAGTTCTAGTTACAACAGTATAATGATTTTTGAAACTCGTAGCAGCAACGTAACTATATCTTAATACCTAATGCTTTGCACCCCATAGTCTAATGTACTGTTTATGGAAGCCTATGCCAAGAAAATACAGAATTGTGAGCCAAAAATGGTCATTCAGAATAAGAACCAGTGGTATAAAGTTATGTCAATACAATCCATTAAAATTTTTCATTGGTTTTCTCCCTTGATAAATTGCCTGCCTCTCTGCATTTACTCCACAGTGCTTCCTTAATAGAGGATAGACAAGCTTCTTTCAGTTAACAGAAAAACTTCATTTTCTCTATGTTGTGTTATCAAAAATTCAACATAATCTCTTTAAAGAACAGAAAAATAGCATTTTTGGGATTAGAGCATGGGTATACAGAGGTCAGGAAATAACTATCAGAGTTTTAAAATGCATTCAAAATGCAGATCTCTGACACTGGCAAAAAACCCTGAAAACAGCACAACACATCAAATTACCTCACAGCTATTTGCATGAAGGGTCCAGAGGCAGTACAGTATAAGAACAGAGACACAAGCTATCCAAAGAGAACTTAGCAACAGTTCTATTGGATGCTGCGTGTGTCTGTAGAAGAAAAAGGGCAAGTCTGGAGCTCAGATGTGCAAACAGCTTTAAGGGACTAAGCAACCTCTTTTTGGCTGATGCATCAAGCAAAAATCTGAAACTACAAACCAGGTAATTTACCAAATAATTTCCTTTTTAGCTGATTCTAACTTTCTGTCTAAAGATTGCTCTGAGCCAAATAGCCTATGTGATATTCTTAGGGCTTTTATCGAAGGACTTCATTGGAGGTGATAGAAACCTGTCATCAAGAGAGGTAATAAATTCATTCTCTATTCTAAAAATGTCTAGAACTTTATAAGATTGTGCATTTCTTTTACGTTCTGAAGATACAATTAAGCCCAATGCCAGCTATACTAGTATTAAAGACATATTCCATTCTACTGAAGGAACTCTGCTTACTGGAAAATAAATCCGTAAGTGCATTAGGAAGTCCAGTGCTAGCTAGACGAAACAGAAAAGCATTTGTTATCTGGGCAATGGGTAATGGAGGGCATGATTATGGCTCTGAAAAAAATGAGGTGCTTCCCCAAAGCAAGAAATCTCTCTGACAGTGTAGCTCTTACAATAATGACCAATACACAGACACATAGCTCCTTTAAATACACAGAAACAGATATTAAAAACTAATGGACTATTAAAGCTGGGCTTTAACTAGAGGTGGAATGAAAGTGCTGCAAATCCCAGTATTGTTTAAACTGAACCCTTAACAAAGGGAATTGCCTGCTGGAGATTTTTAGTGCAGATATATGCGTGTGTACCTCACTCATGCAGGGCAACAGGTAACACAGAGTTCAAGAGGGAAATTATTTTGCCTTGTGGCAGAAGGCAAAGCAAAATCATTAGTTTTCAGAGCTGTGTGTGCATCAGGAAGCTCGGTGGTTAAAATGTCCATATTTATTCTGCCAGAAAAACAACCAGGTGCCCGGTTTTAATTGTGATGAATTCACAGATTCTTTGAAGAATATAAAACAAACTGAGAGGTTAGTAACAAAACTGAGGAAGGACCCTCATAAGCCTTGAATCCCTACAGCAGTGCTATGTTTCTTTTTCAGTGTTTGGAAATACTGCTGTTATTGCTAGGTTTGTTTGCTTCATCGTCTTCCCCTGTTGATCTCTCTCCCATGAAAGTTGCAGGAACCCTCAACCCTACAATGCCATCTATCCAGCTGCCACTGCTGCTCCTCTGCCTGACCTTATGTGGTGTGTGCCTCAAGGAGAGGCCACCCTTTCCAGAGGGAAGGGAGACCATGGGAAGAAGTCCCCTGGATGACATCCTGCAGAGATCTGACAGCCTCATTCTCCAGTCTGTCTTCAAGAAAGCTGAAAAGGAAGGAGAGATTAATAAAGGTATGTATTACACTGGGGACACTCATCTAGTTTTGCTGGCATAGTACTTGCTGAGATAATTAGATCCAATGCATAGTTCTCAGGTTCTGATGTATATGTATCTTACTCTAAGGGAAAGGGAAGGATAAGAAATCTGCTGCGATACACTGACACAGAGTTCCCAAAAGCCACTGTTCTCTAAAATCTCCCTGCTTAGGCAATGCTGTACCATCACTAAGCAATTGCTGCATAATAAAAAGGTAGAAGCCCATCACAGAAAACTTGCTTGTCTGGTAAGTACTTCCCTAGGGAAGCTCTAAGAGGACACATGGAGGACATTCCCCAACTGTGGACCCCATAGCTAATATTATTTGGAGGTGGGAGTGCTACCATTCCCCAGCTACCTCCACCCATTGGTTCCTACACCCCAGCAGAGGTGGGCTTTTCCCATGGCTGGGAATGCAGAGGCTGCTTCTCCTAGCCTGCAGGTGCTCTGCTCTCACTAGTCACTGCAGCAGAAACAAATCAGACTGCAAGAAGCAGCACAGAGGTGCCTGCCACCAAGGAGCACAAAGCTCCTTCAGAGTGGAAAAACGAGCTGGCTCATTTGGCCATAGAAAAAGCCTTCTTCCCTCTTCACATGAATGCTGAAAATTGATTATGTTGGTCCAAGACCTGAAATACTAAAAAGAGCTTAAGAATGAGCATGAGATACTGGTGGCATTATGACTGGTAGCTGGAAATACTGAGCTGGCTTTCAGATGTCCATATCCCCTCTTCTACTTGTGTGTCAGACCTATCTTTTCCCTGCCTCATGCTGATTTCCAGCTCTTCACCATATGCAGCTTCTGCAGCTGATTTCTTCCAGCTGCTCAGCATCTTTTACTCATCTCCCTTTACCTGAATCTGACACATTTACCTGTATCAACACATTAGGCTCGATTATTGCATGTCTTTCCATTTGGCTGCAGCTAGTTCCTAGTGTGTCAATCATCCTTGCTAAAAATGTACCAGAACTGTTTTAACAGATGCCATCTGGAGTGATCAAATTCAAGACCATACTTGCAGTTACCTGTGCAATTAAATGGGCATAATGAGCATGAGATAATGGTCCTGCACCATACAACTCCACAAACTCCCATTTCAACTACCTTAGTGAGGACTATGGGGGCTCATTAACATTATTCTTTTCCATGGACAGAATCAAATGCGCCTCTGCCAGAATGGCTTTCCAAAAGACAACACCTTGGGAAAAAGTACTTGAGTGAGCTGGAGAAGAGACAGCATCCTGGGAAAAGAGATGTTGAGGAAGACACATCTTACGGAGACATCCAGAAGAGGCAGCATCCGGGGAAAAGAGAGGCAGAAGATGACCTTGACAGCTCTCTGGAGCTGAAAAAGCGACAGCATCCTGGCAGAAGGTCACTGTTGGCACAGGATGCTGACAACCCTAGTTCACAGCTGGCCTACTTGAATGAGTTATCCAAAAGACAGCATCCAGGCAGAAGGTACCTGATCTACAAGAACCAGCGTCCTAGCAAGAGAGGCTGGAATGCTGAGGTAGACTTAAATGATCGACATGGTGAGAAACGCCAGCACCCTGGAAAAAAGCACTGGAATTTTGACAGCCCAGATGATGCAGGCCCCTGCAACTTTCAGGAGTCCTTCACCTGTAACAAAGGCAGCTTTTTGCTTGATCTAGTAGAAAATGCTGGTAAAGAAAAACGTCAGCACCCAGGAAAGAGATCAGCATGGGAGAGTGAAACAGAAGAATGAGAAAATCATTGTGTATCCTTTGCATTGGTGAAGTAAGCTGCCAGATCACTAAAAAATTCTGTTCACTCCCTTTCTGCTTCCTGCTGCTGATCTCTGCACCCATCTTTCAGTGCATTAACGGCTTTGTCACACACTTAAAATAAAGAGACTGAGGGGGACATTTGCATGGGTCAGGCAAGTACTGAGAGTCTCCAACTCACCTGCTCCAGAAAGATAAAAGTGCTTATTTCCTTACGGGCCCAGACCCCAGAAAAATACCACTATGTGTGTCCAATTTCCTGTTTCCAAATTACTAAAACAGGCTATTAAATATCTGTTCTGAGGCTGCTAAAATGGAATAATTATAAGGTTTCTTCTCACATCAGTGAAATCAGTAAATTAATGGAGAGGGAGAAAAAAAAGAACAACATACATGAGTTGTTTCAAAATTAAATTGAATAGGTTTTCAACTCAAAATGATACATTAATGAGACCTGAACCCTTGTGTGCTACAATCTGTCTAGACAGCAAGCACAGAGATAGGAACTGTTCCAACTTGAACAGAATAGATGACTGAGTTTATAGTTTGACTTGGAACTGGCACATAAAGCCCGTTTTCACCTAAGAGGCTGCAAAATGTAAAGCATTAACACATCCCAGAGCATCTCAGACGCAAGTTGTGAACCTGTGTACACCCTATAGCAGAACTCCCTCCCTGGTGTGTCCACACTTGAGTCACGCCACCTGAAATCATGCCTTCTCCTCAGACATTTAAAAATTAAACAAGCAGACATCCTTTTCTTCCAAGAAGGATTTCTGATGTCTCTCTTCTCAAATGAATGCTTTTACTTTTGTGGTGAGATTCCCCAAAGTGTTTGAAATGAATCATTCAATAAACATCAATAATCAACTCTGGGTGTCCTTACTGTTGTGCAAACATGCTGTAATAGAGAGAAAAACATAAACCCAACCCAAGCTAAATAAATATAAACATCAGAGTATTTTTCTAGGCACAATCTTCTTGCATACTGGTGGTTAGCACATGTTTATATATAAAACTTTTGCTACTGAAGTGGAAGGATGATTTGCCTATAGATAGACTCCCTTTTTACACCTGCTACCTGTATGACACACAAAGTTATGCGTCTGGGCTAAATCCACAGTAACCTTCTTACCTTGTTCACAGGGAACTTTACCAGAAGTCTGATTTCCTGTTCACAAGTCTAAAAAATAGCTTTACAGGGTTTTGTAATTAATACATGGTTACTGAGTGCACTGAATTATTCATAGCATCACTTCTTGTCTGTATTTCACTAAAATGCTATGTTTTTATAAACAAATTAGTATGTTTACCACTGTCATTCATCCTTCTCAATACCATCACAACACATTAGTGCTTTGAGTGTTCCTTCTAGATATGACTGTTTGCTTCCTCACTCAGGGCCTCACAGCATTTCCTCAGGTATAGAAGTTAGTTTTGCCATACAGTTTAGTTACCCTGATCATCTCAATGAGCTTTCCTGATGTTAACACTCCCAGGCTGCTCAGCGCTTAACACAGTCTATGCACAGGACACACAGAGCTCTCCTATTGACAGGGGCTTTCTAATTCACAAGTGCTGAAGAAATCCTCAGAGGAGGCAGCTGGGAACGTTCCATGCACTTCATATTCCTTCAGCACACTCTCTGCATGGGATGCCTTTTAAAATGTTCGTTTTTCATTTTAGAAGGAAAAAAGGATGTCTCTAAAGAATACCATTTCTCATACTATTTCCAGCAGTGAAGGAATGTGCTGCTCACACCTCAGGGAACACTACTACACAAGACCACCACCACTGCTATAAAATTTCCCAAATAAGTGAAAAACTGGAAAGAAAAAGTTATCAAGTGGCTAAACATGGGCAACAGCAAAAATGCATCACAGCTCCTGCAAGACAAGGAGGCTGCTGTGGCTGCTACAAGAAAGCCAAGGCAGGAAAGGGAGAGAAGCATGAAAACCCAACGTTGTGCACTCGCCCTAACATGGCACCAGTCATGCAAAATCTTATTTCCAGCTTTCAATGACACTAAACCAACCATGCACAGAGGAGTTCTTTATTTACCACAGGTTTACATTTCTGGCATGTTACCAGTCATTGTGACACGGGAATGTGATTCCTAAAGCACAACTTTTACTAGTATGTTCAAAATGAACTGTAATGACTCATTAGTTGGAGAAAATTTGACAACATCATCACCATGGCTGAAGTAGAGTCACTGCTTGCCTGGTAACTCACTTGGCTAGCATTAAACAGCCAGCTGTACTTTCAAAGCATTGGTCAGGACATTGCTATGAATAATAACTATGATAAAAATCAGGTACGTGGAGAAGCACTGCAGAAGGGATGAGTGGGCAAACTCCAGACTGTACAGAGACATGGCACAAAAGATGCAGACAGAGAAATCCTTCTGGTTTTAGGAAATGGATAAGTGGATGAGTCGCACTTCCCTCCCAGTAAGAAAAGCATGAACTCTGCAGTCCTACAAGGGTCATGAGGAAGGATTCAGGTTGAATACAAAGACCTCTGATGGGAAAGTTCCTTGAGAAAATGGAATTATCTTCCTGCCTTGCGATTACTTTTATACCTCTGTGAAGACATTTGTCCTTTGTTTTCCTTGATGAAAACACTGCAGCTTTAAAGTCCTAAGAGGGAAACCAAGAAAAGGACATTTATCAATTATCTGCCAATTCACTCTGTCTGCTTACATGAGATGAAGGAGCACAGACTGAAGGAGGGTAAAGCCTCCCCTAAGAACCAGAATCTGATTGGATCACAAATTACACTGGTATGCTGGAGCATGATACTGATTCCTGACAGAGACAGGGCATGTTAGATACTAATGTAATGGAACAGTCCTAGCCAAAAGGCAAAGACGGCTCTTGAGTTTATTTTCAGCCTCTTTCACTCACAGCTAACATACACTGCACATTCCTCAAGTTAACATGAACTGGAAAGAGGGGAAATCTGGACTTAATAAATCAAGCAAATACTCTTGCAAAATCGGATGGAGGTAAACCAGGATTCAACTTGCCACATCAAAGGAAGCAATTTCATTGCCATCTTCTCTCTATAATGGATATCCTACCTGAATGCAGTTGAGTATGATGCAGCCTAGAGACTTCAGTAGTTTATTGGTATAGGAAAAAATGTGAGATTATGACCAAGAAAACTAGGGAAAGTGACGTGCTTTGAAGAGGTTGCCTAAAATATGATTGCTGTTTTAAACTGATTTTCACAAAGAAGCATATGTTTGAAGCCTAACTTCCTTCCTGATTTTGAAGCTGCTACTGTGTGGGGTGTCTGAAGAAGATATTGTAGAAAGAGAAGAGGAGGAGGAGAGAGAAAAGGAAAGACAAATGAAAAATATAGTAAAACTATATGGAAGGTTCTCTGAGCCAAAGCAGTCAAGACAAAAAGTAAGCTCTTCAAACAAGCAGGTGGTGTTGAAAAAGACAGCCACACAGCCCTGAAAAAAGTCACAAATCATTCACTATTGAACACCCTCTGTTGAGGGTATCCACTTACTGATTTTAGAGATGCTTTCAAGAAGGGAACTGGTTGCTGTACAAATTTATAGGGGAAATAGAAGACAAGAGAGGCTACAGGAGACAGCACCCAAATACAGAGGTGCTTGAAATCCAAAATGAGCCTTGAACATAATCTAGACATTGTGGCATATGGATCCTACAGTTAGAACATTACATAGAATGCAAACAGAAAGGAATTCTGAATCCTTACTGCCCCTTATAATTCACCTACCCTGTGTACAAGTGGTACCACACTCCAGCATTCAGACCCAACATCCCAGATTCCTCAGCAGCAGTTAGAGCCAGATAAATTTATGCAGATGCTGGCCTGCCAGTGCTGAAGCAGTTAATAGGCAAATCAGACAAATGGGGCTCAACAAGCTGTCAGCTGCAGCTCTTACAAATCACCACCTGCCAGTTTTGATTGAGGAGTCTGCAAACACAGAAAAGCCATGGTTTAGCATGGAAATGGAGCTTCTGTCCTCTCTGCACAGACTGCTTAAACGGATTTGGTTTGTATCAAAATGTTTACTCAAAGCAACTGGAGTACATTGAATGTATAAGCTTTGTTAAAAGGAACAGCAATGTGTTCCTTTGTGTTCCTCAGTTCAGTTCCATGACCAAAATGAAAAATACAGAAAATGTTGGTTTAGATCCACCTAAATGAACAATAAAGTTTTAGCAAATAAATTAAAATCAACGCTGTAGGAAGAATTTCATGCTAATCCCTTTCAATGCTAGGAGATTCAAAATTATTTTTTTTAAATCTATCATTAAATTACAAAACTGAATTTAGGCCAATTTTACACACAGTGCCACTCAAAATTAACTGGCCACTTAGTTTAGGAAGAACACTCTGATTTTCCAAAGAACATTCTGATTTTCCACCCCAAAGTCTATACTGAACTCAACACAACTTTCAGATATTGAACATAGTTTTTACAGTGAGTAAGCCATACTTGTGCAAAAATGTCCCACTGCATTCCTGGAGAAGTAGACGGGCATCACCAAGAATTACTTCTAGTCTACATTTATCTCTCCCGTGCTGGGATCAGATTCCATTTTTAACATTTCAAATGGTGCTGAAGATATTACAAGTCGGTGAGTACACGTGAACATTAACTAGAAGATATTTCTGGCAGGACTGTGCCACAGCTACAGGGCTGACTGCCCCCCTTCTCAGTTGTATTCCCACTGTAGCATTTCAGTAAGGTTTAATTTTTCCCTAAACACCTCTCTTCCTATTGCAACTAGCTGGATGAAAAAAATCATGTTTGAAGAAGTGTAAACTGGATTGCTTTAGACTGACCTGGAGTTTTTCATTTTGTGAACACTCTGTGTGGGAAAGTGTGATGAGCCTAAGTGACAAGCAGCCAAAATCTATCCTCATTTACACCAGCACAAACCTGGATTGCGCTCCTCTGTAAAAAGACGTGGGGCCCTCAGAGACACAGGAGCCCACATTTCCCTTTGGGAGTGCACAGACACCATTCAACACAACACTACATCTGGAAGGCTAACGTTGTATTATCACTTCTGTAATTCTCTCTGGGAGTCTCCCAACCAGAGTCTAATACTCTCATAAGGATTCAGATCACCCTAAACAGTGCAGAGACTTAATGTGCAATGAGTTCCTCAGAAAGTGTTGAAGACTCTTTAAATTCAGAAACATGCAAACAAACGGCACAGTCACCGAAGCCGTAGAGAAGCACAGGTTTAAGGAAAGAGCTTGCTGTTCAGTACAGCCTCGCTTTTCCTTACACTTCATCCTCTCGACTTCTGAATGACAGGAGAGGATCGGGCTGCCAGCGGCCAGGACCATCCTGCTGCAGAAGAGTCTTTCAAGCAACCAGCCAAGCAGTCCCTGGGTGCGGGATCCACCGCAGGGCACCGCAGGTCTGCCGTGGGCTCAGCTGTGCTCGGTGTGACACCTAGTGACAGGCACGGCTTCCATCACCCACTTTCCTTGTCTCTTCCCTACACCCATAGAACAAGAAATGCTTGGGGTTCCAACAGCCCCTTCACTTGTTAAATAAATAATTTAAAAGCACAATCATACCTTCTAAAAAAACAGCCAAACAAAAAAAGCCTCAACGTTTTATAATGTACCCGAGTGCGCTGCAGGGACAGTACCCGACAAGGGCAGCTTTTACAGCATGACAAGATCCCTTTCTGGTTTTCAACCAGCAAAACTGGTCCTGTTTTGCATGCGGAACAGAAGGGGGACTGTGACTGGGTGCCACACTATTTCCACAGCATCCGTTTCTCTACTCATAACTGAATCAAGACTGCACAGTTTTGAAAACCAGAGCATAATGGTTCCTAACAGCAAACTGTACATGTAAAAAACCAGAGTTTGATTGTTTCTAACATTCATTTACTGCTATGGTTAAATCTCCCGTTCACGTTTAGGACTTTGGTTTCCCATTATACTTTTGCTAGATGATGGAACAATAAACACAAACCAGATGAAACTCACTGGTGATGTGACAAGGTGCACGTTAACAGTCAGCGCACAAGGGCCAGAGTGCAGGAATGAGACCAAAATTTAGAATGACTCGTAAAAATCCCTCAACCCGTCTGTGAACACCCTATGTGCTTTAGCTGGGATTTGAAGTCCTGTGAAGTTGGGCATCTATATAATTCATGCCTTGGAAAACACTCCCACCCTTTAATGTTTTAAAGGACTTAACTCCAAGCATAAAAGTGCAGTGAAAAACCACTTTTAATGTCTAGGGCTCCAGTGTAAATAGCATTGTCACAGAAGATAATCTCTGCCTCCAAAAGCCTGTAATTCTAACGGGTGAAGCAGGAGCAGGCTCCGCGCTGCCGTTATTTCCCCCACGCAAGGGAACGCGGGGCAGCAGTCTTCTGCCAGCTGAGACTAAACAGGCCCTTCCATCACAAAGGGGCTATCGAAAACCTTCTGCCATTGACACAGCGGCTCGCCAGGTGCTGGTGGGTTCCCGCTTCCCTGCGGCTCCGCCGGCAGCACGGCGCCCGCGTCACGACTTTGGAACGCTTTCGTCTGGCAGGCTAAGGATGGGGACACCGGGCTTGTCCCCGTTAGCCACGCCGGTCCCGAGCCCGCTCAGGAGTAACGGCACCGCGACTAGGTGTGCGATGTCTCGAAGCAGCGGGAGGCCCCGGAAACCCCGCTCCTGACAGGATTCTGTCACAGCGATGGCACGCAGCCTCTCTCATACACACCTGCAAGCCTCGGGATGCTGCAGCAGGCCCTGCTACCAGGGTCCGTTCCAGGGTGGATGAAAACAGCGGAGCGGTCCCTGCACTCCCATGAGGGGGTGTGGGCCTGGGCCCGGCCCCACATTGCCACCACCCCGGCCCCGCCCTCCATCCATAGCTCTGCGCTCGGCAGCGCACGCCTTAGCTAGGCCCCTCATCTTCCGCCGGCCCCGGATGAGCCCCGCTTGTCCCCACCCCTTCCGCCCATCGATATCTCGGTGCTCTCTCCGCCTTCCGTCGTCTCTTACCGCTCCCGGGCAGCCGGGGCCTACCGGTGGGTGCGGGGTGCCGGTGTCCCGGTGTCGCTGCTGACACGCGCCTCCTGCCAAGCCTGAGGTGAGCCCCGCCCGCGCTCCCGAGCTCTGGCCCCTCTCGCCGGTGGGTGCGAGCGCTAGGCCTTGCCCCTCTCCCTGCGCGGCCGAGCTGCGGTGCAGCGCTCCCGGCGAGTGCGGGGTACGTGCGCCTGCTTAGTGAGCCGCCAGCGCTAGGCCTCGCCTCCGCGCTCGCAGCTCGGCCCCGCCGCGGCCCAGTAGCTCTCAGCCTCTTCGGCGCCGCGGTGGAGCAGGGGTGAAGCCGTCAGCCCGTCCGCCCGCCTGACGCCGCTGCCCGCGTCTCTTCCAGAAAGCCGCGAAGGATGATGCCGACCCCGCGCTTTGGCCCTGCGGGGCGGCCGCGCCCTGCTCTGCCCTGCCGCCGCTGCTGAGCCCGGAGAGCGATCGCGGCCCGCCAGCAGCCGGCACCATGGCGTCCGGCTGCGCGCCGCCCTTCGGGGACCCGGCGGAGATGCGGGAAGGGTTCCTGTGCCCGCTCTGCCTGAAGGACCTGCAGTCATTCTACCAGCTCCAGACGCACTACGAGGAGGAGCACTCCCGCGAGGACAGGGATGTCAAAGCGCAGCTCAAAAGTAAGAGCCGCCACCGGCATTTTAACGCGTTCTGTTCTGCCAGGCGTGGGCACCGCGGGGCTCCTGCCGCGTTACCTCAGGCCCAGGCAGAAGTTTTAAATTATTTCTGATACTTTCGATAAGAAAATTCGGAAGGAGCCGCTAAAAGTCATCACTCTTCAAGTGTCCGTTTCTGTGCGTGACTTATTCTTGGCCCTTTGGGCTGCTTTGTTTTTATCGAAAAACTCTTGATTTATACTGAAACCCAGATGAATTCCCAAGCATTACTTGAAGGCCTTACTGAATAAAGGGAATCTGGTACTCGTTAGGTACTGAGTTATTAATCGTGTGTTCCGACAGTAGGTAAAACTGCAGTTGCAGTTACAGTGTGTGAAGTTCAGAAAGGTTGTTGGGGGGAAAAAAAGAAGAATGTGGATGAAACGTCCCGGGGTTGTGCTGTGTGTTGCCAACTGCTGCTGCGGTCTGTAAACCCCTTTGATTTCTGTTTAAGTAAAATATTTACCTTTTTATCCCCTTGTGCACTCAGTGTCATCTTACATTGAGAGAAAAATGTGCCAAACCTGGTGGTAATTCTGTATGTTCCCTGTAAAAGTCCTTTTGTGTTTATTATATGAGAGAGAGTGGCCTGGCTGCCCTGAATCTTTACTCTTGCCTCTGCTTTTTTTCCCCCTGAGATTGATGACTGTTATTTCAAAAGCCTGTTTCTTCAGTGAAAGTGTTATGGGTTTAACAAGCCGATCTCAAGGGCAGCACAGAATACTTCACAAATCTTTAGGTTGCTTTCCATCAGTCTGGCTACTTCCTGGCTCTTGGCACTGTGCTGCTCTTGGACAGTGCAGGCAGAGTGCTCAGTACTGCAGCTGTGTTCTCACACGGGTACAGTGCTGCAAAGAGCTGAATCACAGGTGCTTCCGTGAGGGTTTAAACCAAAATAACAACGTGGTTTTCACCGTGGTAAGAGGAAAGAAAACAACAACTTGGGTTGGCAAGATTTCCAAAATGCTTTTATTTAATACAAAACACCTGCACTTTGATTTTATTCTCTCAGTGTTGTTTTAATTTAAACTAGTGTACTGTGACTTCTCAGGCCGTCTTTCATACATGTTTTTTGCATAAAGGACGTTGGTTTTGTCTGCTTATTTTCTGTCCTAGGTCTTCATGTCAGGGTCTATTCAGTGAGGTCCCTTTTAGAAGAAGGCAGGCCAGCAGAACCACTGATTTAAATTGCCTGTTGTAGGGACTGTGCTCAACTCCAACTACTGTAACTGGAGTTCTAGAAATGCTTACAAATCACTGTATTGATTCAGTTGGGTCATATTGACGTGGTTAAGTTGGACTTCATGGGAAACAAAATTATGAGGATTGCTTGAAAAGTTTGTGTGTGTGACAAAGCCATGAGGCATCCCTACTTCTTTCTGAGTATATCAGGCTTTTGAAGTCTCAGGTGCAAATCTGTTTCTTATTTAGGTGGTGTAAACTTGAACTGCAGGGTCTAGCTGGTCTTTGCAGTGCTGGCTTGAGAGTAGGTGGGTGGAGGAGAAATCCTTGACAGCTTTGTTGAGAAGTGGGTTTTATATCACTGAGTGCAATTTTGGGAGGTAGCATAACTCCCACAACTGAATGTGTCTGGTGAGTAGAGCCCTCAGCTTCTCCTAGCATACAGAGAGGAGTGTAGCTTCAGAAGCTCTGCAGTTTCAAGCCTCAGGAGACTGCCTTCTTGCCAGCATTGACAGGAGATTGGGGCTGTTTAGTGCTTCTGAAAGTATTTATGTGTATAAGCACACTGAAATACTTAGTTTGTAGTTTGTGCAACAAGACAGTGTTGAACATCCTTGAAACCTAAGAAAGTCATCAGGAATTAAGAGAATGAAGGTATCATCTGCATGATGTCCCAGAATGCTGTGGAATGGGTCCCATAGTTAAAGACAGCTTACTGCTTTACAGTGAAGTCCCTGAATGGAGTGTCTAAAACTACTGGTTTGTCATCAGGGCCATAGTGCTACTTTGTGACAGATAACAAAGAGCATTTCAAGTCATCTGTGATTCCCTGAACCACATTCTGGTTCTAAGCAGAATATGTTGAGGATAAAACTGTCATCAAGGAAAAAGATCTGTGGTAAAAGATGAGAAACTTCATGTGACAAATATTTGGTGACTACCTGCCATGTTTGGTAACTTGGATTTATCCTTTTCAGATCTAGTCCAGAAGGCCAAAAGAGCAAAGAAGAAATTGCTGAAACGAGAAGGAGATGACAGAACTGATTCTGGATCTCAGGAGCGATACGAGTCATTCAGCTATGGTGGAGTAGATCCATACATGTGGGAGCCTCAGGAAGTCGGTAGGAGAACTAGAAAGTGATGCAGCAAGGATTTTTCTTTAATTGGAAAAGTGCTACAGTACTGCTGATGCTGCATGGAATTGTGTGGAGTTGGTTTGGAGAACACTACTAGCTGATAATAGCTTGCCAGATGTAACTGAGGGATGAAGAGGGGAAAAAACTTTGTTGCAGATGTTGCAGACTTCAACATAGTGCCTGTTGTTTTCTGTAGTAGAAAGAAAATGCTGTTTTATTGCTAGCCTGGAGGTTGGGCTTTAACCTGCATGTTTTATTTAGGGCAGCACCATGAAAATGTAGGGTTCTAATGTGTCTTTAAAATTCAGTTTGAAGATGAGACATAAGTAGTGGAGAGCTGTCTTTCAAGGGGCATTTAAGTCCATTCAGAACACCTGGGTGACTGTCAACACTTTTTTGCTATCTCTCCAGGTGCTATGAGAAGCCATCTTTCTGATTTCAAGAAACACCGAGCAGCCAGGATTGATCACTATGTAGTAGAAGTCAATAAGTTAATAATCAGGTTAGAAAAGGTAAATTTGATGCTTTTAATATTTTTAATATTTAATATGTCTTTAGTATGAAGTGTGCCCATTTATCTAGCAGCCACTTTTATAAAGGATACTAAACTAATACTCTGTTCACACATTACTGTTTTCTTTCTCTATCCTTGAGTTCTGTGCTTGGTCTGAACCCATACTGTGGATTTGACTTCTGTTTTGTGCACTAGTTTCAAGATGAAGATACTACACCCGCCTGCTTCAGGAACTGTTTCTTTCCCTGTATATTTTCTTCACCTTTTGCTAAATTTCTCCCTGATTTGTTTGTCATGATTCTTCCAGCTTCCCATTCTTCAATTCTTCAAAATCTACCAATGATATACTTGCATTTTGTCTCAGATAATGTTGGATGCTGTAAGGATTATGTCCCAAATGCTCTGATTTGTACAGCTTTGGTGTCATTGTTTGGAACTACTTTATTAATATTGCATTAGAAATAAATAGGGAAGTTGCAGGAATCGGGTGCAGAACAGGCTGAGACTTCTGTCTCTTCAAACCTATAGGTTTCTTTTTCTCACTGGGATGGACTGTACTGGGGCTTTTTCTTGCAAAGTACCATTTTCTTGAATATGTTGTTTATCTCCTACTAGCTTACATCGTTTGACAGAGCAAACACTGAGTCAGCCAAAATAAGAGGTTGGTATGAGCTTACTGCAGACTCTTTGTTCTTGTAGTTTAACCAGCTGAGGAATTAATTGAATGAATATTTTACATTGTGTGTATTCCTCCCTACTTTTGCCCTATCACAGCTATAGAGAAGTCTGTTGTGCCTTGGGTCAGTGACCAGGATGTTCCCTTCTGCCCAGACTGTGGCAGTAAGTTCAGTATTCGAAACCGACGTCACCACTGCCGCCTTTGTGGGTCTATTATGTGCAAGAAGTGCATGGAACTTGTTGGTCTTCCTTTGGCAAGTAAGTACAGTGTATGCTGTTAATTCCTCCTCTCCTTAGCTCACTCAGTGCTAACTCTGTCCAGCCTTTCTGCCATTAGAAAAAAAGCTGCTGGTAACATTCTGTCTCTGTGGAAAACTTGGTCCTTAATGTGTCATTCAGCATCATGCAGCCACTTGTCTGTGAAACAGGAAAAATGATTTCTCCATTCTTTGTCTCCATTCCTTCTTCAGGTTTGGGAGTGTTACATAACCCTAAAAAAGTTACTAGAAGAAGTAGTAGGATATACTACTAGTAAATACAGTTAATATTTAGTATTTGAGTCTACCAAGTACCATAATTATGAAGATATAAGCTCTAGGAATTAAAACTGCCAAGGTTCTTGACATTTGAAACTATTGCACGTATTTCCAGTCTTTGCCATGGTTGTCCACATGCTGACATTAAAGAAATTCAGCCACAGGCCTTTAAGAAACCCTTCAAACTTTAATTTCCTCATCCAGCACATTGGGGAGGAGACAGCGTTTTCTGTTGAAATAAATAAGCTGAACTTTACAAACAGCTCAGTTAAGCACAAAACGTGGGCAACATAAGGTAGCTGTTGTTGCACATGCTGTTCTATAACAGTGCAAGCTCCAACATGAGAATGCTTTTACGCACAAGCCAAGTAGGTGCTTCTCAACAGTCTGCTCTCTAGCTCCTTCTAGGATGGAGCAGGTTTACAGTGAAGACCCAAATTCTGACTTGCAGCCTTGGTTGTCATAGGTTCCCTGTGTGTCTTTTTCAGCAGATTATTTCAACTTGGTTTTCTAATATGACCTGAATGTAAAGTTTCTGTTAAAGTGCAATTCATTTGTGTCAGTAAAATCTGTTGGCTTCTCCAGTTGCTATAAAACTTACCTGTGTGTAATGTTTAGGCAAGCTCACTAGCGCCAGCAGAGAGGCCTTGGGTTCTCATACGAGCCCGAACTCCTCACCAAACAGTGTCCATGGCTCCCGCCGTGGCAGCATTAGCAGCATAAGCAGTGTGAGCTCAGTTCTGGATGAGAAGGATGATGACCGAATCCGATGTTGTCGGCACTGCAAAGATACCCTGTTGAAAAGAGAACAACAGATCGATGAGAAAGAGCACACTCCAGAGATTGTGAAACTCTATGAGGTAAATCAGTCTTTGCTGCTTCCATCCTCAGTGTATCTGCCTGTGGTTGTCACTACTTGACTTCAGGCTTGTTATCTCATGTCTGAGTGCTTACTTAATGACTTAATACTCACTTGTGTTAGAATAGATCCTACTTTGTGTTTATGCCATGTAACAGAGATATGTCTGAAATGATGGAGCTAATTGCCATGCAGTAGTTATATCATGATAACACCATTTTAAGATGCATCTTCATTCTCATACTCTAGAGCTGATAGTTCTGAGATGCACCTCTCAAAATTGTGAGCTGTGTCAGCTGGGATTCCCCAGAACAGTTCTTATTTAAACCAATGGTACGCTGTGCACTTTGGGCTGCTCTGGCACTATAGGACTCAATATTGTCAGCACTGTTTGTCATCACACTCATGGCAGATGTTTTTTTTAAACCAGTGAGGTCAATCAAGAGTGTATGGTTGGAAGATTGTGTTCAACTCTGTGTTGAAAGCAGGTACTGACAATCATCAGGTATCTTTTAAGTTGAGTCCACAACCTCCCCAAGTTAATAGTAATGGGAGTTGGTGTGCTTTGTGAAGAGATTTAAGGCTAGAAGTTGTCCAAGCTGTCCATTATAACAGCTTTTAACTGCAAAATTCATCTTGCAGAAATTCAGGGAGTCTTTCTCTGTTCCTGACTATGCCATCTGTGTTGGAAAAATGACGGGAGGGTCTTGTCATCCTGAATAATTAAATGGCTTTTCTCACGGTTAACTTTGAATGTGCACATGCAGTGTGCAAGGTTGATGTCAGCATGTACTTGCATAAGTGTTTAATGGAAGTTCTTTTCTCATACATTTTGTTTCAAACAAGAAACTCCGATTCTGCATGGAGAAAGTTGACCAGAAGGCACCAGAGTATATAAGGATGGCAGAATCACTGAAGTAAGCCCTGTTTGCTGAGTTTATGAATGTATGTATGTACTTTTATTCCGTAGAAGAGTGGGAAGGACTGAGGAACTGTGCCAAGTCTGCAAGAGTGTGTCAATTATTAAAAAAGCACTGTTAGATTATCTGTTGTCTTTTGGATGCTCTTCAGAGTAGCACTGAGTTAACTGTGGATGGTAACATTGCCACTTCCCACTGAGGTGCCGCTCTGTGTCATCCTTTCAACCCCTTTAGAGTTGCCACTTGTTAAATCTTAGTCATCTTGGGAGAACTTCTAGTGCTGTGTGTATTGTTAGCTGGAAGCATGACTTACAATGAAGCCATATTTATTTCTTAGTGCTGGGGAGACAACCTACAGTCTTGACAACGCTAATGACTTGAGGGTGGAGATTCAAAAAGTATACGAACTTATAGATGCCTTAAGGTAAAAGATCTCTCCCTTTCCCCCTCCCCCAGCATGTGTGTGTCTATTTATGACTTCTTTACAGTCTTTCCCAACTATTTGTGTATCACATACCCACTTATTCGTATGGACAATCAGTGTGTTCAGCTGTAAGGAGCATGTGAAAAGGTAGATGCTGTCCTTGTGCACCATCAATTTCTACTTCCTTTTCCAGCCTTAAAAATCATGCGTTTCTCTGCAGTGCAAATAACTAAGCCAGAGGAAACAAATAGAGGCACAGTTGGTTTTTGTTTGGGTTTTGGGGTTTTTTGTTTGTTTGCGTTTTGGGTTTTGTTTGTTTTCATAAAAAAAAAACAACTTGTTTTTTTTGTCTTACAACTTGTAACCTCCAGAGTGCTTTACCTAAAAACATGAGAAAGTTTCATCCAATGTTGTCTCACTCCCCTTCTGTTGCACTTTTGCTGGCCCTTGTTTCTGAACTGATGAGGCTTTGCTTTGATGCAGTAAGAAGATTTTGAGTCTAGGCTTGCATGAAGATCCCCAGCCTCATCCTAAAACACTACAGCTGCAGAGAATGATAAGATATTCAGCTACACTTTTTGTTCAGGTAATGGAGCATATGTTATGAGCTGAACATAGACTTTATGTAGTGTTCTCTGGCTTGCAACAGTTTTGACAGGAGGCTTAGTTCTAGACATTTTCTGTATAGTCATTAGTTCCCCATATAGTCTGTATGTACCATTGCTTCTCCTAATAACTTATGGCAGCCAAAAATGAGCTATCTTGACTACAGAGAGTGCAGTCAGAGCAGTATTGAGTTTAGTGACCTAAGAGAATGTGTGAAACTTGGCTTTGTCTCTTGCTGAGGTGTCCAGCTAGCAGGATAGCTCTGGCAGCAAAGACCCGGTCAGGTCTGCAGCAGTGACTGCAGTGTAGCCGTACTTTTTCTTTGTGGGGTGTTCTGTTGGAGGCATCTCTCTTTTCAAGTACTTGAAAACTGGCTGAATGCCTGCAAGCAACAATGTAAAATGTTTCAATTTTTGCCAGGAGAAACTGCTTGGCCTGATGTCCCTGCCAACCAAAGATCAGTATGAAGAACTGAAGAAGAGAAGACTGCATATGGTAAGCCAGGTTAAGATCTGCTGCATCATGGGTCAGGGGCTCCTTCAAAAGCTTAAGCCTCATAGGTGTGTGTGTGTGCATGAGCAGCTGGATTTCAGTTTTTCATCTTTTTAAATGCAGATCATTCCATGCCTATGTAACACAGTCACTGTATCATACAGAACATAAGCAGTTGTGTAGTAAGCAGCTGAACACCTGCAGAAAGCAGCAGTGACTTGGTGGCATGTGCTGTTTCTGCAGCCCTAAACTACGTGTGTTAATCTACATGGGTTTTCAAATTGTGTTCTGGAGTTCATTTGCACAAGTAGAATTTGGAGGCTGCTTTCGGTGGTGAAAAAGGATATATGGGAATAAGGATGATTCTTGAGAGAAAGAGTTTCTTCAGTTAGGAGGGAGACTATCATGAATTGTAAACTAAAGCAGCTTTATCTTGAGGTAGGTTGAGAAATAAGAACTGTTGCACTCTGAAAGCTAATGATACGGATGGCCTTTAACACAAGATGCTCTACTACAGATGTCTGATATAGTTGCTGTCCAAATCAGTCTTAGAGCACTCTTTGCACAGTTGCATTCAGCATTTCTTGTTCTCTATAAAGCACTGTCACTGCTCCTGCTTGCCTTTTAAGTTTGTAGAGGCAGAAGTCATGGGATTTTGCTCAATATCATCACAAACAAACTGAAGGGAAGCATTTGGGTAGTACTATGAAAATAAATTTTCTCTGCAAAGTCAGCAGAAATGCAGCTGATTCCTTTCAGTGACAGCCAGCAATGTCTAAGATCAGTGAGTTGATTGTACCTACAGATGTTCAGAACAGGACTTTTCATGGTCATGGTCTCTTACTGTGTGTTACTCACTTTAGGTGGCTCTTGAAACACATGGAAAGCAAGAAGAAAAGCAGAAAGATTTCATCTCCAGATCTGCAGCTGCAGTTAATGGTGATGCAACTCACCTGAAAAAAGAAACAGTCAGGAAATCTGAAGGCTGGTTACCTACATCTAGCATATCACGTGAGAGTGAGATAGCAGACCCTCTTCTTCAGCAGATTGACAATATTACATCCTTTATTAAGCAAGCAAAGGCTGCGAATAGGGTAGATGAGGTCCATATGTTGCAAGAGAACCTGAGGCAGCTTCAGGATGAGTATGATCAACAACAAACACTGAAAGCTATTGAGCTTTCCAAAAAACAGGCAGAAGAGGAAGAGATGCAGAGGGAGGAACTTCAGGTGCTTTGTGAAAAGGAGTGGGAAAGAGAACAGCACAAACTCATGTCTCAGCATTCAAGGACACGCTCCTTAGACTTCAGAGAAGTCAAGCAGCATCAGCACGGAGTTGTAAATGAGAACCGTAACTTGACAGCGTGTGCATTGGATTTGGATATTACTCGGATCAGAGGGAACCCAGGTTTTGAAACTCCTGCTGTTGAGCAGCTGCCAGCTAAAGAGCACTTGATTTTCACACTGGCACCCCAGAATGTCCCACAGTGTGACAAAGCCCAAGATCAGCCAGCCAGTCTAAACCCCTTTGAAGATGAAGCAGATACCCCTCAGTTAGAGGAAGATCCTTCTAACCCATTTGCCAAAGACACTTCTCCAATGGTTTCTTTCTCTAACACGGCTTTGCAAAGTAATAAAAAGGAATATAATCCATTTGAAAATGAGGAGGAGGAGGAACAAACTAATGGAGCACCTGGCAGTACATCAAACCCTTTCGAAGAGGATGAAAATCCATTTAAAAAACCAGGGGGCAGCTGGAATTCTGGAAATCCATTTGAAGAAGGATCTTCTACCAATCCCTTTGAAGTGGAGGATGACAGTGAGAATTCTGGAGAGGAGGCTATAGAGGAAGAACTGCTTCTTCAACAGATAGATAATATCAAAGCTTATATATTTGATGCCAAACATAGTGGACGAATGGATGAGGTGGAGGTACTGACAGAGAACTTAAAGGAATTGAAGCGCACACTAGCAAAGCAGAAGGAGAAATCCAACTGCTGAAGCAATGGGGCTTGGTAATCATTACTTTAAATCTGCTGTTAAATATGGGAAGGTAGAGCAGATACTTGCAAAGAGGAGTACAGATCACAAGAGGGAATTGGGGGAGTCTTGACTTTCATGCACTTTCAGCTAGGCATTTCCACTACTACTCAGTCTTGAAGAAAGAATCGCTGAGGTATGCTGCTGGTCCCAGACACCTGTGGTAAGGAATTTTGGAATGACTTGTTAACAACACTCAGTGCTGCCTGGTCTTGTGTTTATTTTGGTCAAAGTGGCTAAGTGCCAATAGGGAACTGTGATTTGGAAATGGTTGCAATGTTGGTTGTTCTCTTTCCCCCTTTCTGTTACAATAGTATTGGCCTTTCGAGTGGGGCTTTAACTAAAGAGAGACAAAAACTTTTCAAGTGCTGCACCCCAGTAATGTTATGGTGCAGTGCTACAGTGCCTGATGGTGTTAGCAGAAAGTGCTGTTAGGCGGCTACTGTGATTCTTCGAGGTGCAGAATATACAGATCAATTTTGTGCAATGCTAATATGTAAAAGGGATTTTAAGACTGAGAACTTTCTAACTGATCTTAACATGAGCAACTTTTTAATGTGTTTCTAAAAATCTGGATGCTGTGTTTTCATCACCTTTAGTCTCCTCTTTGCTCTGAGCACAAACTACAATAATAGAGCATGCTGGGTTGACTTCAGAGCCCTGCTTCAGGGAGCAAGTACCTACTTGTTTCCAGGGAGAAGACCCTCAGGCTGGCACCATTTTGGACTACAGTAGGAGTGACCCTCCAATTCCTAATTATTGTATGGAATCTGCACATTCCTTCTCTGGGTGACCGAATGATCACGTGTGTCATTTGTGAGACTGGAACCCTCTTTTTGTAGGATTCAAGGAACAGAAATCTTGTTTACAATGGAGAGCTGAAGTGCCACTGAACTGGAATTCTGTGAAAGTTGGGAGAGAGTCTGTGGCTGCAGTAGGGTCAAACAGCAATTGTTTCATTTTGATTCCCTTTGGAAGTTGTTCTGAGAATTGGGCATGTCTGTTTTTAGTAAGAAGCTCCAAATTGGAGTGATGTTGGGATCCTGTGGTCCAGGGGATGCCTGGGTGATGGCCAGCACTGGTAATGCAGGAGGGCTTAGAGCTGGGCTCTGAAGGCTGGTATCAGAAATGTGGGATCCCTTCAGGTTAGGTCAGACCATGTCTTTGTGAGATGGGAGTCTGAGCTGCCTGGATTTTTATCTTTGGCAGAGGTCCATCATCAGGCATCAGTGTGTGAAAGGGTGGAAGGGAGAAGTTAATCCAAAAGATGTATTTATTTAAAGCTGAAATAAAGGAAATCACACAGATCACCCTGCATAGTACTAATAGTGGGCTTACTCAGAAGTGTAAACTTTCATGGAATGGGATACGTATTAACTAACTCTCTAATAATATATATTAATCAGCACAGCTGTAACCCAAGCATTGTGTAACATTTTAGAGACACAAATAATTGCACTACCTGGAGAGCGGGGACTCTGGTTTTAGCTTGCTATAAATTGATGGAGGGGACTTGCAGAACTCTTGTTTAAAAAAAACCAAGCCACCTCCTCACTTAACAGCACTAGTAACTAATCAAAATAACTTACGAGCAGCCCATTAAAGACACTTGATGTTCTTACTGTAGCCTAAATCTGAAGTTGAAAGGTGTGCAGAGCAAGACCATGAAGTTTTTATACCAAAATGTTTTATTAGAGTTGATTTTTAGTCCCTGAGTGTTACCTTGCACCAGGTGAAAGGAGCACAGGATTCTCAAAGGTCATAAACTAGTAAAATGTGCCCTGTGGCACCAAATCTACAAAGGTAGCACCAAATTTACAAAGGTAGCAGAAAACGGATGTTAGGACAGGGAAATGTAACCCCTGGAAGTGTTTTAACAGAAGCAGTGTAAGGTAGATATTTAAGTCTGTTTGCTGGCCAGGAGGACTGTGCCCTGCATTGTAACCCAGAGCTGTTTTGGAACCAACATGAAAAATAAAATTTCAGTGGATTCAGCTTCCACATTTTAAGTGTTTTTTCCTTGTTGCAGCTATCCTGCCTTGTTTGTATTTTCAGTCTAATACACTAATAACTAAAGTAGCCTTATTGTACATGTATTTTTACAAGCAGATAACAAACTAGCATACCTCATCTTTTGTCAGTGTTAATGTGACAGACTAGACAACTCATTCCTAAAGTCATCTCCAAAGTGAAGACTCGACGCTGATACTTGGGCTGTTGTGAGGCTCACAAGGCACAAGGGAATGAAGACATCCATAAAGCTCAGTAAAGGACTAGCATTGAATTTTGTTAAAGCTGCATGCACTGCTCTGTGTGGGAACTTTGTAAAGAGATGAAATAAACCAACATGTTTATTTTGTGCTGTGTTTGGTCTGGACAATTCTTACAGGACATGTGAACTAGTGTGAAGTTTTGTACTCGGTCCTTAGCTCCACAGTCAGCTGCTCTGACAGCCTGAGTGGAAGGTACATGCAATTACCAAATGGTAAGCAATACAGTATTTATCTGCTATTAGAGGTATTGTGTGAATGTTTGGTAAGGCAGAAGCTGTGGAGATTCAGAAGAGACTTTTAGTCTAGTCTCTATCCAAAGCAAACACGATCTGGTTATACAACCTTATACATGCAGGCACAAGTAGGATACAGGCATCATTTCCCTTGTTCTGTTTGCCTTATATGCAGTGTTGACTGTAATGCTTTGTAAAACTGGCACCAAAAAAAGCTGGCTTTCAACTTCTATTTATTTTTCACTTTAAATTATTCTGATTGTAGCTCTGAGAAAACTTTGTCTCCCATGTATTATATGAACTTGTTTGTTCCTGTTCCCAGAAGCTTTTTAGTTCTTTTTCCCACTGAAGTACCTTGATTATCCAGCCCTGAGGAAAAACAACTGCATGGCTTGAGCTTTCAGGCTGATGCTTCATTTTTCATTGCAGCTTTGTATTTTCCCCTCATCTCTTTGGGCAGTGGCACAAAAGCAGGACAGGGAACCTGGCCTTCAATTTCACACATGCATTCTCGCAGATGGTACTTCTTGGGCCCAAACGTTGCCGGATGTGACAGTTTTTTCCTTTCCCTCTCCTCTTTTTCAAGCGTTTCTCTAGAAACAAGATCCATTTGTTATTATCAGAAGCCTGAATGGTGACATTTCCTCTCCTTCCCCTGGCCCCAGTTTACCAGAAGGACAGATTTACAGTTCGTAGCTCATGCTAAATACATCAGGGAGAAGTTGCATTTCCCTCTGTATACCTGACAGAAGTTTGCAGGGATTGTACCGTGATGTATGCAAGAGGGTACAGGAGGTTATGAAGTGTCACTTACTTGCTTTTCCCCAGGATTTTCTTAATGTGCTCATTAATCTCTTTGTTGGTTTTATCTTCAACGTCAACCAAAACTTGTTCTCCATTGTCTGTGAAAACAGATTTGTAATCACGTATGAAAGGGCTCCTTTCCCTACAACGCACTTTCACAACAGCTGGAAAAAAGTGTTTTAAACACCCAGAACTAAGACATCAGCCTCTCTGCCGCTGTCGGGTACAGTGTAACGTTTAAACAGGAAAAGCAAAGAGCATGACTCGGGGTGGAGGCAGAGGGTTGCAGGGGCTTTACTAACCCTCCGAGCTGCTTCCCTATACCCGCTCCCTCCTTCCGCAGTGCAGGCCGCGGCCGGTTCAGCCCCCGTTTCCAGCGCGGAAGCCGCCGCTGCAGCCGAGGCTGCGCTCAGGCCAAGGCCGGCGGGACCTACCCAGGTAGAACCGGACGAAGGGCGAGGGGGTCATGTTCTTGAAGAGCATGATCTGCACCCAGGGGTTCTTGTACTGGATCTGCGGGATGTTGAAAAACACAAACTTTCTGGAAGGAAGAAGAACACAGGCGCCAGCAGGGCTGTCTCCGCAAGCCCAGAGGCCGCTGAGGAGGGCGCTGAGCCCCGCGCCCCGTCGCGCCCACGCTCACCTCGCCCCTTCGCTGAGCTCTCCCGACGTGTTGTAGTTCACGGTCATCACCTTCACCGAGCTTTTGAAGACGACATCGCCCTGGTTGAGGTACTGCAGCGTGCGCCGGATGGGGAACCGGCCTTTCATCGGCATGGCGGCGGCCGGAAGTGGCGGGAAGAGGAAGTGACGAGAGGAGAAAGTGGTAGAGCCGGAAGTTGCGAGAGCGAAGGCCGGAAATGGCGGGACTGCGGCTTCATTCCTTCCGTTGTTAGTTCACGGAAGCGGCTGAGGGAACAGGGAAGTTGCTCACGCCGATGGGATACTTGGCACGAACAAACGCATGTTTCTGTCTGTAACGTGCCCCACCGCTCTGTCAAATGCAAACCCACGTTTTGTGCTCAAGGAGAACGTGCCCGCCTGGACGTGGGAGTTCAGCCGCTGTTTAAAATAGAGCCCGAGCCCGTTACCTCCATTACAAAGTGTGTGTGAGGGAGCTGAACTGGGACCCAGCACATCACCTTCACTCAAGAACTGGGAACAGGAAGGAGCTTCCAGGTACAAGAGAACGTGAAGAACTGTCTATTAACAGCCAACGGCCTCCTCCAAAACCCGGAGAAAAACAGAAGGCCGAAGAGGATGAATTAAAACCCTGAGGAAAAGGGTCTTCTACTTCAGGGGGTTCCCTGGTGTCAGGAGGGTTCATGGGACTTATCTTCCCTCTTAAAACTAATTAAATTACTCATAATCACAGTAGTGAAGGGAAAATACAGTTTTCCCCTAAAAGATAATAAATGATGTATTTGGCCTAGACACGTAATATTTAGAAAGAAATTTATTGAACTTAATAATAAAACTCGACACATTTATATTTGTAATTCACTTTAATGGTAAACCTCAAATAGGTAGTAGTATTAAGCCACAACAATATAATGCCACATTACATTAAACATTTATTAAACAGCATTTAATAAAATGCATAAGCTAAATCATGCACCGCAAATACTCTATATACAAACACAACAATGCAAATCCCTCTTCATGACTGAAGACACTGATCAGATACAAAATTCAGATTAAAAAAAGAACATGCTGTTATTTTCGAATGCAGTCGCACATAGTGCTGACTTCACAAAGGAAGCTGTGAGGAATTAACAACTCCTGCAGGATTTTTAACTTGGAATACGGTAACATGAACAATAGTTTTCTAGATTATCATGAACAAAGACTTCCCAAAAATATCCCAAGGAATTAGATGATTCCTTTTACAAAAACTGCTGTTCTTGTAGGAGCTCAGAACTCCTCGGTGTGCCAGACACAACACATACACAATGTGCAGGTTGCCAGTTAGGAAGCTGAACACGGGCCTGCGATGGATTCTGGAGTAGAGAGTAATCACTAAAAAGATTCCCATATTCACTGTTGACTCCATGTGTGAGAAGGTAATGTGAATGCTCTGCAAGTGACGTGCTTCCTTCTCAAAACACATCCTTTTAATGTGAAATGTCTTCAGACCTGCTTTCAACCCACAGTCATTGAAAGGATTTTAAAATGGGCCTGTGCCTTGCTATCATTTATCTACGATGATGAGAAAAACACACAAGCAGCCAGTTATTCTGGGGTGTTAGAGACCTGGCAGGAGATGTGCTTCTCAGAGTTTT